CCTCCAACCTACTAGCGATGGCCTCCAACCTACCAGGGATGGCCTCCAACCTACTAGCGATGGCCTCCAACCTACTAGCGATGGCTTCCAACCTACTAGCGATGGCCTCCAACCTACTAGCGATGGCCTCCAACCTACTAGGGTATGCCTCCAACCTACTAGTGATGGCCTCCAACCTACTAGCGATGGCCTCCAACCTACTAGCGATGGCCTCCACCCAGAGTATTTGGTCGATGATGTGGAGTTGGCACCTTTTTTTTTGTTTTTCTGTCACCCATGAGGTTCACTCCAAAGACCCGGAAAGCAAATATTATCAAATATTGTGTTGTGCAAAACAATTTGCTCGGAGATGTCTTGCCAAGTTGAGAAGCAAGGTATGACGCACTGGACTCGGGTGACGCGAACAACTGCAAAGTGAACTTCGCTAAAACAGTCATTTGAGAAGTGTTCGATTTCTTCCCCAGAGCCAGGTAGTCAAGTTTTAAATTAAGGCGAGCACCGATCGTCCGATCTACCGTGCCGCCCCTCCAAGCACTGGCTATGCGGCTATGCATGTGGCCTGTAGATTTTGTCTATGTGGCTGATGTCCGGTGAATCCTACTGTAGTAACCGGGCCATGGAAAGACCGCCGGGGTTCGCCATGCGACCGCACGGGAAGCGTCCCGCGGCGCAAAAGTGAGCCGTGTTCATCGAAAAATGTGCCGCCAAGCTGGTGGTCTGGAGCTTTCTCTGAGCCACAAAACTATTCAAAAACAACATTGGATCTACAATGGTCCACACTACAGCTTCTACAAATTTGTTTGGCAAAGGATGTTCTCATTTGGAAGAGGCTCACAGTGCTATGACCTGACTTTGGGGCTAACACCGTCTAATGTAGAATGTTGATGATAGTTCAATCCCCCAGGCCGAGGGCGTACTCTCCATGTCCTGGAGGGTGCGTTGATGAACAACCAAGGTCTACATGACCTGCCCCAGTCGTCCCATAGAGGGCCTTCTACTATTAGTTGGTTGATTGATAGAGAGGATACCCTCAAGTGCACAACCAATAGGTAGATGGTACCAAACCGACCCATCTATTCTTCCCAAAAGGACACCACTGAGTCATTTGCTTCTCACCATTTCAGATGGTGGAGTGCCCTCCTGGCTTCGATGCACCCTGCTGCAGCGCCCGGGATCCCCGGAAGAAAAAGACGAGGAGGGCGCGGTGACATCATGGAACCTTCGTTTCGGATTCGCTGTCGAGGGATTGTAGGGCTTTGCGGAAGTCGTGCTTCGTGGTTTTTCGATGGAGAAATGGAGCGCAATTTTTTTCATTTCTTCCATCGCACCAGTTGGACACCTCGTGTTTGTTCGAAAGAAGATAGAGAGAGAGAGAGGGACTCGTTTCAAAGGAATGGTATGTTCGTTGAGGTGAAATTCACCTCCGTGTGACCCGCAGCCACCCGTCGTCCGACTTGCTAGACTGAGAGGTTCACAAGTTGATAGATCGAAGCCAAACGTGGGGGTCGCTGTTTAGACCATTAGTTTGGAAGGTTGAGACACAAAATCCTGGAGCCCTGCAGGAGCGTTTCGCATGACTGATCAGATTGGAAGAATCTGATAGACACAGAAGAAGGACTGACATGACTGATCAGATTTGTTGCGTATTGTGAGAAACTCTCAGCGTCATGATTGGATCTGGAGGTTGAACAGACATCCCCACTGAAATTGGAAAGTCTTCTAAACCTAGAAGGACAAGAGATCCATGCGAAACTTCACACGCACAGACCATTTGAAAGGGAGTTTTGCTGAACACCCATAGTTTGCCGGTGTTGTCCCAGGTAGTTTTCAACCCAAAGCCGGCCTTTCACGGGTTTTCACCGTTTCTGTTCAAAGTCGAAAGACCTTCAGGGCCTCCAATCAGATGCAAACATGGAGATTGAAGCTGTACCAAAAGCCGCTTCGGCCTGGCTCCTTCTGCAAGCGGAAACACCATCAGACCATCAGATGTCGTTGTTGCTTCCCCACGCAAAAGCCATCTACCTCTACTACAAACCTCTACTCCATCTTCTCGATGGATCCGAGCTCCTTCTGAAGCGCTCGGTCCGTGGGCCGGGCCGGAGCTAGGCCTTGGGCTGGTGTGGCCGCTCAGCGGATCACTGCCGGAGCCCTGGAGACGTCGTTCGTGGGGCGCCAACGGAAAGCACCAGACGGTCCTTGAGCCACCTGAGTGAACGGTCAATGGTTCTCATGGCATTCCAACTGCCACCAGTTCAAGGACATACCAAAAAAAGGGCTTCGCTTTCGGACCCTATCCCCGTTGGTGGTCTGGCTTTGGACCCTCATGACTCGGGTTCATGTAGCAGTTGCTTTGGGTCCACGGTTGCCAAAAGGGCAGCAGATGTTTTCGGGGATCCATCTCCACCGGCGTTGTAAATGACCGCACATGACCCAAATCGATGCCAACCAATCGCGGTGTCAAAGTGGAAGTCGGACGCAAAGGACTCTTGGCGCATGAACGCTTGAACATCTCAAATGCCCTGCAGCTGGAGGTCTCAACATCATCACTGGGAATCTGGAGAGTTTCATGGCAACCAGGATGAAAACAGTGGATATTATAGCCACTGGCCACTATCCAAATCAATTCCTTGGTTTGGGCATTATACTGACTCATTCTTAACATCACACAACTTGAATCTCCACATATGTGTGGAGTTTTTTGGATGGACATTGACTACTCCATAGTGTTGCTGCAACTTCCAATCTGTGTGTGGGGGTTAAGAAGGACAAGGGAAAATTCAATAGGCCAGTATGGGCAGTCGTCAATGCCTGGGAAAATGATATCCCTGACATTCGGAGATTTTGGAGATCTGGACATGCATTGAACATCATGCATGTTTGTTTATTGACCACCAAACGCACCAAAGCATTTTTGATGAGTGGAATCGATGGCAGCTTTGGCCAAGGGTACCTCCACGCACTCAACACCTCACGAGGCAAGTGCGAGATGTGCTCGGACTACCGACACAAGGCGAAGGCGGGACTTGGGCCTTGGTGGTGTTGGACGTTCAGAGTCATCTCTGAATCATTGATTGCCAGATGTTCATTCATATGGTCGATTACGAGGTGCTTTAAGGCCAAGAATCGAGATCTTATTGTATAAAAGTTTTCTTTTTCAGGAAAGGTGGTCAATGCGTTTTCAGGAAAGGTGAATTCCAATGCCTCGTTCCATGAAACATTTGATTCTAAGAGGGTTCATAATTGAAATCTGAGACATGTATACCGCCCTCAGAACTCTTGGCTCAAGTCCTCAAGATAGTCTATGGCCAATCCCCATAAGCACCACTTGGGAAGACGTCTCGCGAGTCGAGTCTTGACGGGGATTTGTCCACTTCGTGGAGAGATCAGCTTCAGGATCAGGTCCAGTGTGACCCAGTAAACCTGATCCTGAAAACCATTGGAAACCTCATAGACTATAGTGTTTGTATGACCCCAACTCCAGTCAAAATGATGTCCTTGAGAGACCCTGGAGACCGGTAGGATCACTACACATTGTCTGAGACACCCTGTGAGCAATCATGAGTCATCGCCATCGTTTCAGCGGCCGGTTTCTGGGGCCCAAGGAATGCGTTCCAATCGCCCCACTGGGACCAACCTGGATCTTCACCTTGCTCTTTGGAAGCGAAGGACCCACCAACTCCCCTTACGCGAAAGAACAGGACCTGTGGGCCCCTCCTTCGATGACCGACCATCGACCCACACAGGGGCCCCTCCCACAGAGGGTCCTCACCCAGGTGACCTACGCAGGCATCAAGTTGAAGCGCGCCAAGCGCGAGTGCGAGACGATCGCCGCCGATCTGGGGCCCTTCTCCTCGCCGGAGGAGACGGGTGTCCGTTGTTTGTTGTCCGGACGGAAGTGGGTTTTCAGGGGAAAGCCTCGGATGGAAGTGGCTTGGCGAAGAGCAAAAGAGTCCAAGTGGTTTCCTTCCTTCAAGGCATTTTCCAACAAATGTTCCCCGAATCATGAAGGCCTGGAATCATGAATCATGTTGATTCAAGTGAAAACACAAGGCTGCAATTCGAAGTGTGGCAGCTGTTTGAAGCTGATCTTGGCGTCCTCAGATAATGATGTCAATGACCAGTCATACTGTACACAAAAGAGGCTGTAAGGCCACAAGTAGGGTGAAAATGGTTTGCAAAGAAACGAAGGAACTGGAGATTGTGGCTGATCGGCTTGATATTCACAGAAAAATCAATGGGCAGAAACATGGTGATAGATGAAACTGATGCCCTGATAGGTGACCTTGCTTATCGCCATGAATATTCTGTTGTAACTCTGTCCTTTATACATAAAGAAAAACACATGAAACACCGTTGACTGCTGCACTTAAGGGTCACTGCAGACGGTGTTCGAACGCAGACTTGTTCTTCGGTTCAGGTCGACCAGCGCGTTGCGTGCCAGCCTCGCGCATCGCTGGTCGAACAGCGTCCGGACCGGCGTTCGTCCCAGTGGACCCTCCAGGAATGTGCCCAAACGGCTGTGAACGATTCAGAGCTCGGAGACCCAGAGAAACTCGTGGACAAACCGCTTGCGAAGTGCCGCGCCGGATCCGCGTTGCGCGTTGTGGCTGTGGGTCATGGCACCCGGAGCCGTAAACAACGTAGGTTGACCTCCCAGGTAGTCTATTCTGCTTATTTGGTGGTCAATCAGGGTTTCCCGGTTTTGACCCACACAGCCATGTTTCTTTTTGGAAGTGTCTTCAATTTGCACACTATTCAGATGGTGACACTAATTAGTTGTTACGAGACGTCGCAGAAGTCTTGCAATTTAATGGTGGAACGAACATGCACTGGAGTATCATGCCTTTCCCTCATCAGAAGCGGGTTTTCAGTCAAACTGAGCACCAGACCAGTAGTTCCCAAGAAATACTTTCTTTGGTGATGGTGTTGCTGTTGGTCGAGCAAGCGTTGCCAAGCGCCATGTTGGCCTACGTTCCCAAGTGCCAGTCAGGCGCCACAGCGAGAGGCGCACATCGCCATGACCCACCATGACGGATGGGACTGCCCCAGCCGACCGAGCAGTCCTTCTAAAAGATCGAAAAGAGCGAGCCACGTGCGCCTTTTTGGTGGTCTGTCATGAGTCTCCCCTCATCCCTTCTGGCCCCCAGAAGGCGCCGCCTTCGTTGGATGCCAATAGTCATGGTTTTCCTCGGTGAGCAAGGCTAGATGTGGCTGAGGTGCGGGAAGATGATCATGTTTTCCTTCAACTACCCCAACTGGGGTTGCCGATGTTGGGGAGCTTAGCTTCGATCGAAGTGACAGAGAGCAGACCTTCCAGGCAGGTTGCTCTGGACTCAAAGACTGAAGAGCGACACAGTTTGGGGCCTTAGGATTGATCGGTATAATATTATTATAAGTGTGTTCCATTAAGTGTCGTGCTGCTAATGGATTTGCATGTGTTCGCTAATTAAAAATGATCAGACACAGTTCGGCATCCTCAAAATCCGTTGTGTCCATCCAGTGTCGTGTTAATTTACTCGACGTCCACAGCACAACTCGGCCACGCGGACTTGCCTTTACGGTTTATAGGGGGTGATGATGTTTCTCCTGTCGCAAGACCACTGATGGAACATCACGGAACAATGGAATCCAGAGAAAGCCTGAAAGTGGGCCAATTTGTTCACCTTCAAACATGTTCAACTTAAGTAGCATACATAGCGTTCTTCGCAACAACAGTTGTTTGCCACCAAATATTCACTCTTACCCCTCCCCCCCGGGATGACCCTCGCTGGGACCCTGCACTTGTTCCTAGTAGCTTCTTGTTACTACTAGTAAGGCACTTGTTCCTAGTAGCGTGGCACCTGTTACTAGCTTATCTCGGAATTCCGCTGTACCCGCTGTACCACGTTCCTTCGGTGCTCGTTCCTTCGCCTCGAGGTTGTGCGATCGACACACCAGAAGGCGACGAAGCGGGGGACACCCAGATCGCTCGAGCGAGCGGAGTCAGTGGTTTGTTTTTGTTCTCCGGTTTGTTGCAGCCCTCGGTCATGGTAATGGCATGTAATGGCAGTTGTTTGCCGTTTGTGGCAAACCAGAACCTGTTCGAACAGATTGGAATTTTCAGGAATCCTTGAAGACAAAGAGGAAGACGGTGGAGGCTTCAAGCATCAGGTCGATCAAATGGGTATAATTTGGTGTTCAATGGTTTTCATAATTGTTGTGCATTCCAAGTCCTAAGCTACCTCTGTCATTCCTCACTCCTTACGGATTTTTGTGCTGTTAAGTCTTGAACATCCTTCACAGGCACAATTCTGGGCATCGGACTGTACGAGTTTGGTAGCCCAAACATGTTTTGAGCAACTGCACCGAGGTTGCTTGCCAATTCCATATCTTATGGAGTGTTTTCTTGGTGTGTGTTTATTTGGTTTGGACTGTCCTTTCTAGATGTTATAGACCTGAAGATAGAACAATTTGTATTTACGAACTCAGACGTTGGCTTATTTGGTTCTCAGCTTGTGGCGCTCTCTGAGGAAAAGGATGCTTGGAACGCTCCCTGGCTTTGCGATGCGGGGGCAAAACCCTGTCTGTGGATACCCTTGGGTATGCGGGTCGCCAAGCACTAAAACGCGACCCCTGAGTCCGAAGAACCACAGCTGAATTGGTAGGACGTCGGCCTCATGCTTTGTGGAACAAGTCAAATTTGATGAAAGACTTTCAGCTTGACATGTCATCATCCATTGTCATCCATTAATCCATCCTCACAGTGAAAAAGCTGATCTTCCACCGAGCCTTCGCTGTGAGGGCGACGAAATCGGTGAAACACCGAAACTCGAGTTCGCTCAACGGCGGCCGCGATGTGCACGCGCGACGTTGCGTGACACGTTGGCCCAGGTCTATGCCTACGAGGTGATTGTGGAAATCCTCTGACAAAAAGCGATGTGCGGTTTTGACTTTCAGAGCCCAGTTTCATAGATTCCATGACCCCAAAGAATACCAGGACGGTGGTGTACACATCGGATGGACTGCAGGATGGACTCGATAAATCATAAGGAACATGTTAGGAACACTCTGAAGCCTGTGGTCAAATGCATGGGTGCCTGATTTGATTAGAGGTCATGGAAGCAGCCAGGTGTTGACGTGTTAAGGAAAGGATAGGGAAAGGAATAGCTTCATTTTTGCCCTCCTTCAGTTCAAGTGTTTGAACTTTGCATATCGAAGATCTTCAAATTGCGGAGGTTGGGTGTTCCCTTTGTCTCGGTGTTCGCAACAGAGAAACCCTGGTGTAGTTCATGGCCTGTTCCCATGTGGAGGGTGATGGCGCCATGGTCCACCACGAAACGGAGCAATCACACATCAAATTGCGGATCCGGGAAAAATGGATGAGACTGGGAATTGCCTGTGTGGCCCATCAGATCCAAACCAGCCGTTTTTCGTCGATTGGTCGCCTTGCAAGGGGGCTCAAAAAGCGCGGGAAGCATGAGAAGCATAGAAGAGCGGGGAGGGAAGGATGACATACCATGACATAGGCAGTCCTCAAGGTTAATTCAGCACCCCGGACTGGCAGAAGAGGACTGGCAAGTTGAACAGAGCAAAAGTACCAAACATTGACAAAATTGTGTTGGTTTTCAGGGTGTTCTGCGCATAAAGTCGATGTTGAAAGAGTTTGTTCTGTGCACATCACGAAGACTCACCAATGCACAATAGGTGTGATCACCATTTCGTTTGGTATTCTTCGGCACTGGTGATTTTGGCGCCTACAACAATTGACGCCCGAAATGAACCACCCCAAAAAGACAACTCGCAAGTGAACGCAGCTTTGGGGCCCACTCAGTGAGCCAAGCAGCCAGGAGACCGATGGGGAGGTGGGTTGATGGGCCAAGTTCACGGCGGAGCAGACATGATACTTTGAAGGGTGAACAGTCAGCCAGAATTAAGTGGTTTCCCTATATAAGCCTATACGTGGATGTACTCCATCCCATAAATAAGCGAACATCCACTATGTCATCGTTAAAAGTTAAGACCACAGCGATTGGCAGTGAAGCTGACCCACAACGTCCCAACAAAAAGTCCCTGCCAGTGCTGACCAGCATCTCGTCTACCCCACAGGAACGACAACTTGTTCGACCCAAATCCAGTGAGTGGGCACCCCCAACTGCCCACCAATCACACCGCAAGAAGCGAAGCGAAAGTGGTTGATCCGAAGATCCGATCTCAAGCTCCGTTCGATTCGCGTCCGATCGCTCCGGACTCGTAGTAAGGCCAGGAGCCCCGAACGTAGTTTCTCAGATTCACCCGTGGAGCGAGCTGACTGACTATGACTATGGGTTGAGATGACTGCCATGTTGAGTCACAGTGACTGATAGTTAAAACATATATATATGTGTGTGTGTTGACTGAGTGCTTCACATGATGACTCTCCCACCGTTGGTTTGTGTTGGTTTGTCCATCACAGACCCCAGTTGTGCGTCACATGCCGTCAGGATGTGGCGGGTGGAGCGCAGCTATCGCGACAGCTATCGCGAGAAGAGGCTTTGCTGGCCGAGCCTTAGGAGAGCTGCGGGCATGCCACTTTGCCTGGCACGCGCAGCCGCGAACACGGTGGGAAATCGGCGACTGGATCGGAGATGAAGCCCTCACACGAGCGGAGAAGAAGAAACACCAAGTGCTCACCAGACCTGCACAGACAGGTGCAGGTGTTTACGACGCTGAAGCGGAGGGTTCAATCGTTGGATTTTGCGGTTTGGCCAAGCAGCGGCGGTTGGAGCAGGGTGGTCACAGGAGTGTGAATTGATGGGTATGGCATGGGTGTCGTACCTGAAAGCAATAAAAGCCTTATTGAAACTTCAAACATCTTTAAAATCACATGTTTTGTTGAGAGACTCACCAGTGGCCGATACCATTTCCACACATTCAGGGCCCCAAGAACGCGTGGCAGAACACCGGCCGTGCGATCTGGGCGGTCCTCGACGTGGGACAGTCCTCGACGCCCAGGCTGATGAAGACGGTCCTGGCAGTGCTGAAGCTTGGCGGATCAAACGGGTCCCATCATCCCGAGGGCTTCGTGCAGTCCGAGAAACCTATCCACAAGCAGTGGACCTTCATCAAGTGCATGAATTATATATTGTGCATGCAGCCACTGCATGCTATGGTGTGACATAGATATCAGACATATCATAGTATGATCAACTCTACGATCAACTCTACATCTCAGAATGCTCGGAGCCGAGCTTCTCTTTACGGTGGAACCAACACCCATGGGCCCATCGGGTCTTGGGATTTCAAGTTTCGGTCAGCTCACCTGCCACCAAGGTTGGGGGGATATGGTTGCAGGCAGATTCAGGTAGATCGCAGAAAAAGACATGGAGTTTCAGCAAGAGGAGGCATCGCTGGAGTCTGGGTCACCGACTTCGTGACTTCGTGCAGCACCGAAGTCGGTGGACCGACCGTGAGGCATCACAACGGATTTGTTGATCCGGAAAGACATGGAGAAAAAAAACCGTGAAGAAGAACCATTTGTTTTCCCTTGTTTCTAATAGCAAACATTGTTACTACTAGTAAGGCCCTTGCTCCTAGTAGCGATGCACTTGTTCCTCGTAGCTTGTTTGTTTGTCCATTTGTTTGTTCCTTGAAATCCCATCACACGGGGCCTCAGCACCCCAAAAATTATAGGACCGGATAACCCCACATGGGAACAACTTCGAAAGATTGAAGCTGCAGTGCTGAAGAGTGAGCATGGGGAAGAGACAGGCGAGACAAATAGAATGCGTAAGGGTCGGTGTGTGTAGGTGAGGTGTGTGTTTGATTGTATGTGCTTGTCCGTGAGTGTGTATGAGTGTGTGGGTGGATTCATGCTGTATGACGCTTGTGTGCATGTAGGTGTTTGCAAGGTGTGTGTTTGTGTGTATGTGTCTGTTCATCAGTGTGTATCTGTGTGTATCCGTTTGTGTGTATCTCGTCAGAGAGTCGGTCGTCGGAGACGAACTGGTCCAAGTGTCCTGAGCAGGAAGATGCATACTGGTCATACCGATTCATATGGTTGACTCATACGGTTGACTCTACGTAGCTTTGAGCTCCCGTGAACGAGCGCAGGCAACGACCTCGGAGGCGACTAGAGAAGACAAGATCCCAAATGCACCGAAAGACACCAGGTGTACAAACCATGAAAATTATCTGCGGGTGAAAGACTTATCCCATCGTCATCTAGTGACGGCCATCACGCTGTTGAAAAAACCGTGTCTGAAATCGGCAAGTCGCATCAATCAGACAGAAGCAAAATTATACATAGATTCCAAAGTTTCCAAAGTTTCATCTCTTCATTCTGTAGCGATGGCCGTGGCGCCTTCCATACACGCATCTGAAATCTGCAAGTCGCATGAATCAGAAAGAAGGCGTGAGCACATCTACATCATCCAACAGTAACAGGTCATGCCAATCGAAGACATACATTTCAAACATGCTTGGGATCATATCACCAAAGCCAACGATGTGCGCTCACGGTCTATCTACGCATCTGAAATCAGCAAGACGCCTCAATCAGAAAGAAGGCGTGAGCACATCTACGTCATCCAATAGCAACAGGTCATGTCAATCGAAGACATACATTTCAGACCTTCTTGGGATCATATCACCAAAACCAACGATGCGTGCTCACAGTCTATCTACAGTGACCAATTCAACGCCGTTGGTATCCCGAGTCATGCCCATGTACAGCGTGCCATAAAAGCGGGCGCCGTCTTGGTGCGCGGTCAATTGACGATCTTGTCGGAAAGTGTTCAGTCCGTGCGCGGTGAACGTAATCCAAGAGAGCGCGAATTGATAACAGCCCAGAGCTACACCTGCCACACAACTGCTACCGGCAGAGCGCGATTTGCGGACATCAAGGTCCATTCCAAAGATGCAACTACGACCGGCACAACGCAATTTGACAACAACCCAGGACCACACCTGCCACGCAAGTGCTACCGGCAGAGCGCAATTTGACAACATCCCAGAGCCACACCTGCCACACAACTGCTACCGGCAGAGCGCGATTTGACAGC